GCAGCCTATTTGACCATTGCTGGCCTCCAGGCTGATGATGAGGCTGATTACTATTGTGCTGGTGCTTATGGGAGTGGTAGTACCAAGAGGTATCCACAGTGATACAGTTGGTTGCAGAAGTGAGACAAAATCTTTCTCCTGAGCTGGTTGGAGAAGCGTTTCGTTCTGCCCTGAACTCAGCATCCACCTGGCCTGGTAACCTTTCACGCACTGATGGTTTAAGAGCCAGCAGTGTTATGATCTCAGCCTTGGGGAACCCACAGATCTGGTTTCACTAATAATGTCAATTCAGTTTTGAAAAAATGAAAAATGATACAAATGATTCTGATCTCTTTTGCTCATCCCGCTTCTACAATAAAAGACATTACAATCCATGGCTTCTGAAATATATTAATCATCTCTCTATCTCTTTATTTATCATCTATCAATCAACTGTCCGGCCACATACCCACACACCACAGAGAGGAAAATAAGATTCTCCCCAAGCATCTACTTTGCTCCCTTCTGTTGGCTGTTAAAAGATGGTGAGCAACTTCCTTTCCATTGGTTGACCTGACTCTGGACAATAATTGACTGAGTTCCTGGAAATAGTTCTGAGTTCTGTTTCCTTTTTCTTCACTCTTATTTCAACCATATTCTGGGTTTCATGGTATATAATCAGTAGGAGGATCTACCTGATTAAATATGGGGAGGTTTGTAGAGCATCTGAAAAGAGAGAAATATACTCTGATGCATTGGAATCTCTCCTTCCTTTCTGGTTCTCCTATTGCTTCTTTTCTAACTTCCAAAGACTCGCTAGATGAAGAAGAGGGATACAAGCTGGGAGAATATTACCAGAGCTTTAGAAGAGTTTTTTTTCTGAATTCTGCATTTCAGCTGTTCAGTAAACAACATTGGGGGAATAGCTCTTCCCTGACATCAATAGATCCTGAGAAAGGTCATTTTCTCATCATATATGAGGACAGAGAAGGGTCCACAAGGATCTCGGACACTTCCTCTGGCACCAACTCCTGCAACACGGCCACCATAAGCATCTCAAGGGTCCAAGCACAGGATGAGGCAGAATATACTCCCAGGTATGGGACAGTGATGAGTGCAGAGTAATACAAATTAGAGGGAGGGAAGAGAAAGGGTTGCTTCAAAGGAACTCCATGTTCTCTGATGGCTAGGAGAAGGCCAACTGCCTTCTGGAAGGAAGATCTCCCTCTTCCAAGGGCTTTGAGGACAGGCAAAGGAGAGAAAGAATGCCGAGCAAGGACTCTCTCTAGCATCAGGTCTAAATTCTGGATCCTGACCTCCTTTATCTCCTTTTCATTTCTTCCCCTAACCAACCACATCACATACAATTCTTGACATGAAACCAATTGTGATAAATATAGGAATTTGTGATAAATATAGAAGACCAGTGAGTGGTTTTAAAATTAGGCTTAGAGGAACAACAATCAATTGATATGCTCACTTCAATGTCTTGGAATTTGCCAAAGGAAGGAGCAGAACGCTGAAGAGAAAAGAACTTCATTTGCAGAATTAATCCTTCTCCACTTTGGCCAAACCACCTAAAGACTTGGACTTTGTGTCCAAAAGTATTGGTTCCCACTACGACAGGAGGAAAGGAACTTCTCAATTTAATGGAACATTCAAGTATTCCATCATTAAAGAAAAGTTGCAGGTTTCAGAACAAAGTTGAAGTTAGAAAGGGAAAATTAGCTGATATTTTCCCCTCTGTGACCACATTGAGGAGCTCTTCCACTGTATTCCACATGCTGTAATAACCTCCTTAAAATCTTTTCAGAATTAACACTGACATAACACTACTGTCATCTACAAGGATGACCTCTGTCCCCTGAAGCCCACGGGCTTAAACCCAGAGAGTGAGATGATGAACACCATTTTCCCCACCCTCCTCCTGAATCCACATCAGCCAATCCACTCTTCAATAAACATGGCTGAACATGACTGATCCTGAAGAAGCTAAGCAGGGTCAGAGCTGGTTAAAGCCTGAAGGGGACCCTGCCAAGGAGTCCCCAGAATCACAGTGTCTGTAACGATCTGCCACCCGCTGATCCCAAATCCAGTAACTTTCCTTGCAGCCA